AAAAAAAAAAAAAAAAAAAAAAAAAAAAAAAAAAGATTAAAATTTAGGACCAAGGAATAGCCCTAAGCAGGTTTAAATTACTAATAAGTATTCATTCACTGTACATAATCTTCAGAAAAATATCAATACCTATTGATGCCCAATGGTTCCAAGAGTTAAAAGACTCAAAATCAATCAGACATTGGGGCGGGCTTTATCTTTCTGAGTCTCCCTATCACTACCACACACATACTGCACTCACACTGAGTGGCAGCAATCAGTCCACAGTGCTTCTCTTTGAGTATCTGACTTACTTTTTCAAAAATAAAACTGAGCTATTTTTTAGAATGATCAAGGTGAAATGTAGGAGTTGTTATAAGTATAGCTTATGCATGCACAAACACAAATACACCTCAGCCACCTGGATGCTAAAGAGCTTATTTTGCTTAGAATTGGGGTTATATTACAAAGTTTAATTCTAAAGCAAATAATTTTTCTTTCTTTTTATTTGGCTTGTGGTAATACAATACATCATACAGAGCTAATCTTAGCCAAGGATTACCCTAAGCATTATGCTAATTCCTTTCTCTGACATTAGTCTTACACAAGAATTATAGGACCAGCCTTCAAAGACTGAGCTAAACTTTATTTCCTTCGTTTGATATGTGATATCAAATTTCAGTATTTTCTCATGAGTTTACTAACTAGAATTTGCATATTTATGATTGGATGAGTTCTTCTTGAATCTAATTGTTACTCAGTACTTTGTGATGCTTCCAATATTTTCAGTTAGTATTTTGGTTCCTAACATGTTACCAAGTAAACATTTCATGTATTTTAAGTCACGGATCCTCCTTGGGTTTGAGTTGTGGCTCAGTGGTAAAGCCATTACCTAGTGTGTTCCAGGCCCAGGGCTCTATCTCTAGGACTGCTAATTTAAGTACTTGTATATATGAAGGATTAACCTTATTTTATAAGAAAATCCTCTCCATTTCTAATTTTTTGGAGTTTCTCAATTCTTTCAGAGGATTTCTACAAATTAATACTTTGGGTTGGTTTTTCTTACAGCATAGTAGGTGAATGTATTAGTGTTTAATTAAATAAATTCTCTCTTCTCATTGGTTTCTTTTCTGTCTAATGCACTATTATATATCTTAATAGAACCAACCCTAACTCCAGCCTCCAAAACTCTGGCCTTTCAAGGGCATCTCTCCTAAATTTTCTTTTTAATATTCCATAATTGTGCATTTTCAATATTCCAAAATATTTAAATTTCATTTAAATAAAAACAGTTATAATACAAACCTTTACCCAGGTTCTCAATACTTTCTCAGTTTGAGTAACACCCAGATGGGATCCACAATACCTTAACATATTTTCCTGCTTTGTTTTTTGAAACAGGTCTCTAGCCTGTGAGATGGGTGGGCAATTATTATTCCCACTTTACAGAAGAAAAGGTCACACGTTGGCGAGGCAGGGCCAACTCTGTGTGGAACATGACCCATAGTTCCTTCCATCTTCAGAGCATACATGGAGCCACTGGGTGGACAACAGGGAGGGGCCGTGTGCAGGGTAGGTCCTCCTGCACAGACTCTCAGATGTTATGTCCATCTCCAGAAAAGAGATTGTTTAGTTATCTGCTGGAGCATAACAAACTATCCCATACCCTTAGTGATTTCAAACAATTACTTCACCATTCCTCACAATTCTAGGGGTTAACTGAGGCTCAGCTGGACAGTTCTTCTGTTGGCTTTATTTAGGATCTCTCATGTAGCATTAGTCTATGGCAGATGGGGCTGGAATGACCACAGCAACTTCATTCTGGCCCCTTACATGGAAGGGTGGGTTCAGGTGGGACACAAGGACAACACAAGGAGCCTCTCTTTCTCATGACCTCTTGACATGATCCCTCCAGCACATTAGCTGCTGTTTTAGATGCACCAAAAGCAAAAATTTACAAGCTGCCTTGTGGCTTAGTCCCAGCTCAACCAAAGGTTCAATTTAGGAGAAATACATAGGACATGAGTACTGGAAGACATGGTTCACTGGAGCCATTTTTGGAAACCAGCAACTACAGGGGTTAAGTTGTCCTTTTCCTCCAATAAGGCTTCAATTCCTCTCTACTCCTTTTTCAGTTCCCTGTGTTTCTTCTGGTGGCTTGCCTAAACCTACAAATGTCACCTTCTTGTCTATAAACATGAAAAATGTCCTACACTGGAATCCTCCAGAAAATCTACAAGGAGTTGAAGTTACATACACTGTGCAGTATTTCATGTAAGTTTGTTTTCTTTATTTTGGCTAGTTTATAAACACAAGACTCAAGACTCCTGTGATTAGTGTAAAGATAAACCAGCCAAGGTATTAAGTAAGTTTTTAAAAAAGAGAAAAGTTTGGGGTATTCTATGCTGTTTTCTTGATACATTTTATTATACTGAATTAGGAAACAGTTATTTCATGGAGCCTAGAATTAGATGTTCAAGAGAGGGGTGTTATTTAAATAAAAGAAAGAATTTGGCCAAAGCATTATTCTCTGGCAGTGCAAACAAGGCAATTTGTCACCTCTGAAACGTCTAAACTTGTTGGAATTACAGACAGCCTTAATGAAACTGAATGCAGAATTCCATGCTATCAGCTTTTCCTACAAAACATAAAGGCGAATGGACTTTTTACTTTTAATCTGTCCTTCCAAATTCATTGCAAGAAAGAAAGAATGCAAAACGATAGTCTTCATCTTCATGAGATGGGAATGGCCACAGGGCCCAATCACAAACTGTAATGCAGACAAGCCCAATACCACGTAATCAGAAAACAACTGCAGAAGCTGAAAGCAAATCCATACCTTGAACTCCACCAGCAGAAAATGCTTTCACAAGCCTAAGTGTCATAGTGCTAAGAAGCTTGTCTAACAGTCTAGACAGGTAGAAATCTAAGGGTCCCCCCACCAAACACTGAGGAAATATCCCATGAACCCCCCAGTTGGGTGCCACTTCAGAAGGTCAGTAGAGGGGGACCTGAAAGACAAGTTGGGTTCAAGTGATATCTCCTTTGTGAAAGATTGGTCAGAGACCAGGCAGAGCCTAGAGTCACGCAAGAAGGCAATAGGTGGAGGTAGCCCAGGAAGGCAACCTTGCGAGAGGTCGGTGAGTTCCATCAGCCTCCAGCAATACAAAACCTGAGAGGGGGCAGGCTCCCCAGCAGAGGGAATACTCAACTTGATGAAAGAGTGTTAGACTGAAACAGAAGTTTAAAATTCTGAATAGGAAAAGCTCTACTACCTGACCCTAACTCCTATACCCATCTGTTTCATATTCATCCGACAGCCAGCCCCATTCAAAGCTAGTCCCAAAGAAGCTAGCACAGCACCTTTCCATAATTACTGGAAGAGAGAAAGAGGAATAAGAATGAAAAAGTAACAAGTTCCTGAAAAGGTTTCCCTTGGGCAAAAGAGAAAAATTCAGACAAATAATTGTCTGTGCAGCTCTAAAAGGTAAATCTCAAAGAAAAGAGAACAGTGGAAGAAGGGATTCTAACCAAGACAATTTTTAAAAGTGGACACAGCTTATGAAAAAGTTGATGAAATAAATATTTTATTGAAATGAAAAACCTTGTACAGCTAACTGACAATAGTGGCTGACAGGTAATACATGTTATCCAGAATTGTGTGTAATACATTCATGCTATGCTTGGTAAAGTTTCATAAAAATAATAGCAAGACATATCCTGGTGAATTTAAGAAAATGAAGTAATTTATGGCCATGATAGCAAAGGCAGAAATCAAGTGTGTGAAAGATATAGGATGTATGATATAGGACCTCCAAATTATCTAAATAAGGGAAATATTATAACTCCCAACCTGCTAAATATCCAAAATGTTGAGTTCCTGTTTCCTAAAATTGAAGAGTGATTTGTAGGACCAATGGAGGTTAAAAGTTGGGCATATTTATTGAGGGAAAGACAGCTCCTGCCTGAGAGGGGCCAGAGGGGACACCCCTGAAAGTGGGTATCAATCACTACTGTTCTCCCCTAGAGGAAGTACAGGTGTAGTTGTTCTTTTTCTTAAAGCCTGTCCTTTAGTAAGTGAGCCTCAGTCTTTTGTGCTGAGGGCCGGGGACTTACCTAATTGCCTTATATTTCCTAACCTGTTTAACTGTCTACAATAGGTGGGTGGGCAAGGGGGATTTCTCTCTAGCAACTCTCCTCAGAATACACCTGACAGGAAGGTAAGTGTAACCTGAGATTCTTACTAAATTCAATACGTACTTTCAAGCAGGTGGGAACTCAGATCACCCCCCACTCCTTCTGAAACTGGGAAGACCAGTAACTAAAGATGATATATAGCTGTGAACAGAGATAAAGATGAACCCCAAAGAACTTAGTAGTTTCACAATGACGCAGAAAGATGGATGGTATGCACAGAACACTTCTAGACTAAATAGCGATAGTAAATACAGATGCAGAAATTCTTTGTCAATGTTTAAGCTTAATGCAAATCAGAATGTGGAGAACTCTAAGTGTACTGTTTTTCATAGCAGCAAGTCATTAAATGCAATCTAAAATGAAAATGCAATGGTCCCTTGGCATTCCCAGGAGGTTGGTTCCAGGACTTGTACTGATACGAAAATCTGCAGATTCCTAACACTCTTATATAAAATGATATGATATTTATTTATAATCTATATACATCCTTCTGTATACTTTAAATCCTCTTTGTATTTACATATAATACCTACTACAATGTGCTATTTAAAAAACTATCACTATGCTGTATTGTTTAATGAATAGTGACAAAAAAGAATATTAAGTCGAAATACAATATTGTTTTCCAAATATTAGAATAAACAGTTGAATGCACAAATACAGAACCCATGGATATAATGAACCAATGGTATTTCCTTATCATAAAATAACTCACCTCTCAATATTTTTCATAAAACTTTTTCTTCAAACCTACTTTAGGAACTACTAGTATATCTTGTATTAATAAAACATCTGAACTTGGATGATTCCTTTTAAGTTTTGTTTCAATTTCTTTTTTTGCTGAAATTTTACTTTCTTAGAAGTGTATGTGGTGTCATCTGATTTGTATCCATCTATTCAGCTGTTTAATCATCCTTCTGTTTATACGTAAATACAACAAACTGTCCAGAACCATGTACAACAAATCACAGTAGTGAGTTTCAGGGTGATTTATTTCTCTCTTAATTATAGTTTTCTGAGTTGTTTGCTGGTTTAAATTTTAGAAGACATGTAACACGTTTACAAAAAAACAGCGGTGATTTTTGTCTTCGGAAAAAAATTCTGACCACTAAAGCCAGAGAAAGACTTCAGTGGCCCGTCACCATGACTTCATTTATCTAGGACTCCACTCTCATGTCCCAGTAGTTTCTCAGGAGCTCGTGTGCTAGGGGAGAGGATGACTCCAGCTTTGCCAAGAGAAATGACTTGTGAGCATGCTCTCACCACTTTTTCCATTAGGTGGAGCAAAGAGCTTGTTCTGTCTTTTATATTTTTATGTTTTTCAGAAAGGACTTTTAAAATAGGCAGATCAGTAGGCTCTGTGAGAGCGGATTTAGAGTATGGAACTTTTTTTAAAAGTTGCCAGGTCAGAGTTGTGACATGCCTGTGCATGGGGTAGATGGGCAAGAATACAAGGCTGTCTCGCTGCCAGAAGGCTGCAAAGCTCAGCTCTAAAGTCAGGCTGTGAACAGAGCTGAGTAACCTCAGACAGGTTACATGCTTTCATACTTTTGAGTGAAGCTTGTTTCCAGTGTGAAATTCATAATTTAATAAATATTTAAATTATAACCAGAGTTTAATACAGTAAATAGAGTGCAGCATTAAAAACACAAGCTTTGGTGGGCCAGGGATTTAGCTCATAGCGCCGCCACTTGCTTCGCAAGAGCAAGGTCCTGAGTTCAATCCCTGGTATCAAAACAAAACAAAAACACAAGCTTTGGAAGCAAGGAAAAGCAGTTTAAATCTCAGATGTGCCTTTTATCCATCATGTGAACTTGAATGAATCCCTTAATCTTGCTAATCTTCAATTTCCTGATCTGTAAAATGAGTTAAAAATAATGGATCCTCCTTTATAGGGTTGTTATAATTCATTGAGATATAGTATGCAAATTCTAAGCACCATTTTCAGCTCATAATAGGCACATGACATCTGCAATTGTTACTAGAAACAGAAATCACTGAGGGGTCCCACATGAATTTTTGCCACAGCTAAGTAGCACATTGGAATATTCGTTGAATGATTAATTTTATATCTCTCAGTCAGAATCCAGTAAGAAGTATTTTCTCCTTCATTAGCGCCTACCAGTGCCTTGCCTTTGGTAGAGGGAGGAAGTTTGAGGAGAGAGAGTTAAATAGACGCTGATAGTAATTTTCAAACCACAAATCAAGACCCATTTGTCAGCCAATAAATCAATTTTCTACAAAGTCTACCTTCCTGTTGGAGATGGAAAGGAGATCTATCAATAGGGGAGAAGAGAGAGAGGAGAGAAGAGAAGTAAAAAGGAGTAAGATGCAATACGTGCATGTACTGATTTTTCACCATGAACATATTCATTATGCATTGTGAACACGGACTAATAAAAAAGAAATAAATTTTGAGTGACGAAATTAGCATTATATGGTAGGGAGTGGCAAGGAATGGGAAACAACTGAATACAAGGCACGTTAGTGAAGTTTTGGTGTTTTCTTGAAAAACTTTTATTTTTGTATATTAGATCTATCTGTTTTGTGAGGTGGATCACAATGTAAAATGTATTTCTTTTGAACATGGAGCATGGTTTTTAAAAAGTTTAAAAGCCTCTTGACAGAGTTAATCACTTGGATGGAAAAGGTGGTCAATAAGATCTGACTACAATATCTAATATCTTTTGGCAGACACAGTGCTTATGAAATGGGAGAGATTTGCTTTCTAAAACTGTTGCCACATTCTAAAAAGAGAAGGCATCCTAAACTTTGGCATGCCCTTCTCTTGACTTTCACTTTTTTTCCTTCTCCCTCTTTAGCTATTATTTCCAAGTCTACATTGTAACCACCTTTCAAATCTTGATGCTCCTCAAGTTTTACCTCAGATTTTGCTTGCAGCAATGGAGAAGTTCATTCAGGCTTACACCTTCAATGAACAGTTTTATACCAGTAAGTCCAAAATCTCTACCTCCTACTCACACCTTCCGCCTTAACCCCATTGCATCCACATTTGGACAGATCTTACATACCTTACACTCAGTAGTCAACACTGAACTTATTATCTTATACAGTACTCCTTCTATCCCTCCCCTCCCATTTCCCAAACCCACTCTTCTTTGGTGCTCCTTGTCTTGGTAAATGCCACCACTGTTCCAACCCAACTGTCCCAGAGGCATCATTTTCAACACCTTTATCACCTTCAATTTCATTATCTCTTATAGCATGCAGCCACCTCATCCTATCTCCTAATATTCTTGCTTTTGTTGTTGCTCATTCATTCCACTGCCACTATCCTTGTCTAAGCGACTACATGTTCCACCTGGACAGTGCAGTATCGTCTCAACTGTTCCCAGGCTGCAACTCCCAAACTACTGTATCCTGCACGCCACCACCAAGCCTGTCATCTTTTCCCCAACACCCCTGCTTCAGTGTCAACAGCCTCTAACTCAACCCTGTCTCATCCCCCAGTTCGTGGAGTTACTGAAGCTGTTTATACTTCAATCTCTCCTGCCTGAAGAAGAGCTGAGAATAATCCCCTCTCTTCTTTGCTATGGCTCTTATATTTTTAATAAAGAGGAAGAAAATCAAATTTAGTCAATATCATCATAAACATTCTGATAATCATTCAAAATGAATATTTTGGTATGCACTCCCACCCAGTGAATTTTCCCCAAATTCTTGATGTCTCCTAAATTTTATGAGAATGTCAAGGTAATTTTTCTTCCCAGAAAATAAAATATCTTTTCTTAAAATGACCCCTCAATCTGATCTCATAGACATAGTGGACTAACAATTTAGATAATGACTAGAACACTGGTCATACAATATGTAAAAATTTTACTGTAAGTGAAGAATAAAATATATGCCTTCAAAATGTACTATCCACATTATAATTCACAGAAAAGAAAGGTGATCACAGAAACTCTGACTCATCTTCCTGACAGCTAATGAAAAAAAAATTGCCAGCAGTGAAAGTGGGTGCTTTTTTATCTCAATGACAGGTACTTTTGTTTTTCTGAAAAGAAGGTCTTCCTTTCGTTTTTAAATAATGACTGGTCTTTTATTGTAAAGCTTAGCAGGTACCTCATTATAAATTCATAGTTTCCTTCTTCACAGATATGGGCAAAAGAGATGGCTGAATAAACCTGAATGCAAGAATATCAGTAGGACCTACTGTGATCTTTCTGATGAAACATCTGACTATGAACACCAATATTATGCCAAAGTAAAGGCCATTTGGGAAACAAACTGTTCCAAATGGACTGAAACTGGAAGATTCTATCCTTTTTTAGAAAGTAAGTAATGCCACTGTGGGCTAAACATGTATTCATATCTAGTTAATTTGCCCTCCTAGTTTGAGTCTCAGTCCCATAGATAATTTTGCCCCAGAGGAAAAGGCTCTGCTTGTCTTGGTTCTGCACCAGTGGGGTAAGTGACTAGGCCATGGTGTTTCACCTGGCTGGCCCTTATAATCGCCTGAACGTTTTGGTCAAGGGATCTCTGAGATCTCTCCTAGATCCAAAGTTAAGGCTGGATTCCCATAATATCCACTTTTGGTTTTGTTCTACCATCTAGTGAAGGATATACAATTTGAGGAAAAACAGATTATTTTTTAACTTCATGCATTAATAAACCATTGATGCAGGTCCAGAAGATGGATTAAAGTATCCTGATCACTCCATTAAGTCTCTTCTTGCAAACTTGACAGTGTGATAATTTAATTCCTAGATGTAACTTGGAATTAAGACAACATCTTCCTAGTATTTGCTTTTATAATTTTTCCTCCCCCTGATCTGTGGCTCACTCCACCATGAAGGATGCATTCAGGGCCATCATAATGCCCTCTCCAGGGCCTCCTGAGGCCCAGAGCTGCCCTGTTTTCTGCCCAATCAGGGATTAGCAAACTTTGGCCCTTGGGCCAAATGTACTCCATTTTTCTCCAGTTTTTCTATAGGACAAGAGCAAAAATAGTATTTATATTTTAAAATAGCTTTTACATACCAAAAGAATATTTTGTGATATGAAAAAGTTTTACCGGAACACAGACCACACTTGTTTTTGTAGTTATCCAGGACTACATTTGTGCCATAACCAAAGTGGAGTCCTTGAAACAGAGATCCTGCATGTCTATTTTTTTTTTTTTTTGTACCAGAGATCGAACTCAGGACCTTGTGCTTGCGAGGCAGGAGCTGGAATCACTGAGCTGAATCCCCGGCCCTAAAGCCTAAATATTTATGCTTGGACTTTTATGAGAAAAGTTTACTGATCTTTGAAGACCATTCTTAGTCTCTAAGTTTTCCACTTATTAAGACACATTATTTCACCAACTTTTCAAGTCATAAGAATGTTACAAACACTTTTGGTTGTATTTACCTTCACCAAATACTATTTATCCTTTGACTAGGAACTAAGTAAACACAATGCTTGAATTTGCTGTTTTAACTGTGTCATAGTGTGTGAAATGATTGTTTCAAGATCTGGCATAACTTGGGTCCTCCTTAGTATATTTTGAGGGATCTCCTCTAAAAAGGTGGCTGTAGGTCTTTGATCTGAGTAAGTTTACACTGTAGCTTTATGGAAGGTGATTTTTTTTACATCTGAACATGATAATACCCTCTCCCACCCCTTGAAGCACAAATTGGTCCCCCAGAGATTGCCCTAACTACTGACGAGAAGTCCATTTCTATTGTCCTGACGGCTCCAGACAAATGGAAGAGCAATCCAGAAGACTGTACCATTTCCATGCGACAAATATACTCCAATCTGAAGTACAACGTGTCTATATATAACATTAAATCAAAAAGAATGGTAAGCCTGAAATGGGATGGGGCATATAATCTGGGTACCAAATTTCTGTAGCTGACATTATCAGCAGCCCTGATAATTTAATCCTCCGCACAAGAGTCCAGGGATGCGGTATTCAAAAGAAAGGCTGTATAAAATACAGTTGAAGCTTATGTGTACATAGCTGACTTCAGATTTTCCTTACAGAAACTCCCTGTTCACTGTGATGTTGCTATAGGAGTGTACAATAGTAGTGCACCCCATTTTGATAAAGAGCCTTTACTTGGATAACATCTACCGCTCACTCTCCAAGAAGGCTAAAAACTTGCTAGCAAGAACACAGGACAGAGTAAGAAACCCATTCTTGTGCTATTATTTAGAGTTATTCTTAAAATTGGTTCAGTTCCTAACCATGCTTTGCTCAGCTAAAGGAAAAGGTATTTTGAGAACTACTGCTGGGGAAAAAAACAGAAGCTTATAGTAATAGTAAAGGATCAAATGGTAGCTTGGTCTTACTTCATTCTGAAGTTGTCCAGAATGGTCCTAGAATCTTTGGCTGGCTGTAACCGTGGTTTGCAATTCCTTGCTCTAGTGGTCCCAGTGTGTCACCAACCACACCCTGGTGCTCAGCTGGCTGGAGCCCAAAACTCTGTACTGCGTCCAAGTGGAGTCCTTTGTCCCAGGGCCCCTGCGTCCTGCTCAACCTTCTCAGAAACAGTGTATCAGTACTTTGGAAGGTAAGTTTCAAAACAGCTGATATAAAAAAGAAAATCTAATAAAACTAGAAGGAAGTACAGCAGTTTATACAAGGTTTTGACAAATCCACCTTTAACAGACAAGTTGAGACAAAGGCAGAAATAGCTATCACCTGAAATGCATGGACTCACATTCAACTGTGCCATGGAATGTGGCCAATGTCAGGGATTATTGTCAGCCCCTCAGAGGATTCTCAGTGCAGATCCCACAGTCTGCTGCCAACAATCCTCCTGTGGTCACATAGCTTCCAGCCTTGAGAAATGACAAGAACATTCAGCTGGGTATGGTGGCGCACACCTGTGATCCCAACCTCTGGGAGGCTGAGGCAAGAGGTTCCCAAGATTGAGCCCAACTTGGACAACTTAGTGAGACCCTGTTTCAAAAAACAAAAGAAATCTCCACATACATCTTTTTATTTCTTTAAGTATAATTACTGTGATCAACAGAAGTGGAATGATCTTCAAGAACATCTGACTTTACTGTACGAAACAAAGCATTATCCTGAAAACACTCTATAGCAGTTTTGTAGGCTGGGTATGGCACTGCAGGTAGGCACCTGTAATCCTAGCTACTCAGAAAACTGGGATGAGAGAATGGCAAGTTGAAGCCCAACCTGAGAAACCTGGTGAGACCATGTCTCAAAAGAAATTGTTTTTTAAAGGGCCTGATGTATTTCAGTGGTACAGTAGTTGCCTAGCATTTTTAGGGCCCTGGGTTAAATCCCCAGTACCAAGGGGAGAAAGAAAGATTAAAACAGAATTGCTTTCGCTCCTCTTGGGACTCTTCAAGTTGCCTTCAGATGTCATTTGGCTGCACAAGGGTCTAGGTGGGCAAATCAGTAATTATGCCCACACTCTTCAGTTGCATCTCTCTCTTTCTTCTCAGATGTCTGCTTCGCATGTTTTCTGAGCTGGGTGCCAGGGGACTGTTGTTGAGGATGTTGGTTCCTACTGGGAGATATGGAGTTGTGGGCATGGCTTTGCTTAATCTTTCTGCCCCCAAAGTAAGAGGAACTTGAGCTCAATCCTCCAAAACTGAAAGAGACTAAATCCTACAGCTTTTTTACATCAAGTGTCTCTCCACATATTATTCGTCTGCCTCTCCCTTCTAACAGAGTTCACCAATTCACCCCACTCCTTGGTTCTAATCCCAGTTATGGATAAGAATCTGGCTTGATTTTTCTCTCTTCTCATCACTCCCACTTTCCAAGATGAAATGATGCCAAGGAAAAGAAAAGAAATGTTATGATACACAGCAAAAGTGAAAGGCTTTCTTGTTGAATTGCTGTTCTTATCATACCTTTTCCTTTAAAATAAAACTGAAATACCAAACAAGCAAAAAGCAAAACAAAGCAGACTGAAGAAATAATTTTTGTGTTTGGAGAAAGTGATGTGTTTACAAACAGCTCGACTCGTGCCAAATGGTAGAAATGAATTTCCAGTGAAAATCATTTACTCATTTGGCAGAGCTAAAGCAACTAAAACACAGATTAAATTAAATATTTTCCAATTAGCAGATGGAGCCCACTTTCCCACCCGTGTGGGAAAAGAAACAAAAAAATAACTAAGTTCCATTTCTGGTTCTGAAATTTCCAGTGATATCCCAGCTGTTAAATCACTGGAAATAGTTTTTTTCCCCCCACCACCAGGGATTAGTGCCAGGGCCTTTGTACTAAGCTACATCCCCAACCTTTTTTCAATTCTTTTGAAACAGGGTCTTGCTAAGTCACTAAGTTACCCAAGCTGGGCTCAAACTTGTGATCTTCTTGCCTCAGCTTCTGAGAATTCTGGAATCACAGGCCTGTATCATCAGCCCTGGCTTGGAGATACCCTTCTATGACACTGCTGCTTTCTAAAAAATCAGCATTACTTCTTCTGAGCTATTCCCTGAAACACATTCCTGCTATCTGCAGTATCCTAATCCCTAAACTATAAGCACAGTTGATTAGGTTTATTCAGTAAATGTGCTAGTACATACAAAACATCATCAGCGTTTGTTATTGTGGCTCTTTTTTATAGGCACAAGCTCAGTGCAGTGTGAAGGATTTGTAGCAAGAGGCCTGGGCTGAGCGGGGCAATGCATCCACAATGCAGCGTTGGCTGGTACTGGGTGGAACCTTATGATGAAGATGCTCTTTGGGGACCATTTAGGGTAGAAGAGGCTGTAGCTGGACCTCCATACTGGCCTTTCCTACTGGCTAGTGCCAACCACCCTCACCAGCAATGACTCATCAGTTTCCCATCTGTAACTGGTCAGTTAGCTGAATAGTGACTCTGCTTTGAAACATCTGATTCCAGCGTTCAACTGGATTGAAAGGTTCCCATGACATAATTGGCAGTTTTATTAGTGTGTAAGGAGGACTTTTGTCATTTGTGTCTTTTTTCTACTGCTGTATTAGTCAGAATTTTGCAAAGAAACAGAACTAAATGGATGGATGGATGGATGAACAGACAGAAAGACAGACAGACAGACAGACAGACAGACAGACAGATGAGAAATTTTAAAGAGCTGTCTTACAACAATTGCATTAGCTAACAAGTATAAACTCTGTAGGGCAGGCAGCAGGCTGGAGACCCAGTAGGGAATTCATGTCGTAGTTCATGTCCACTGCAGTCTGTTGACAGAATTCCCTCTTCTTTGAGATCATTCCTTTTTTTTTAAATTAATAGCATCTATTGATAGAATGAGACCCATCCACAATATCAAGGGTAATCTGCTTTACTCAGAATCCAGTGGTTAATATGTTAATCTTACCTTAAAAGAATACCTCCAGAGCAACATCGAGACTAATGTTTTGCTAAATACATATTCATACTGCAGCTCAGCCAAGTTGACATAAAATTAATGTTCCCAACTTTCAGGTACAGCACAAGCACTTGCAAATACATCACCAACTCTATAGTATGATGGGCCATAGATGGGCCAGGGCTGCTTTCTTTATGGTCCTTCACTGAGTCTTTTCATTTTTTTAGGGAATTGCACTCACTGTGAGTGTACAGCATGCCAGGTCCTGGAAGGGCCTTGTCATTCTCAGCACACTCCTGCTCAGCCACCTCTCCACACCCTCCCCAAGCTCCAGCTCTACTCAGAAAATCTGGCCCACCATGTACAAGAGCAGTTCTGTTTGGTCAACCAAATGGTGATGTCACACATCTGTGTCCTCTACTAAAGGCATGGAAAAGACTGAGTCAAATAAGTACCAAGAAACAGTGGGCACAAGAGAGCTTTGTTGTTTGGTTGGAAGAGCTGTGAGTCACTCAGATATCAGACCCTTTACTTTCAAATATATATTTCAGCATGAATCTCAAAGCCAGACAGATGTTGAAATGTTCACTGAGTTGGATCCTTATGTATCCTTACTGTGAAAATGTGAGGTGAGTCAGAGAGATTAGGAATGCTGAGGTCCCTTACAACACTTAGCTCAAGCTTCTCAATGCATAGTTGAGAAAAATGTGCCCCTAAATGTATGGTAGGTGATTTGCCCAAAGCCTCTAAATACTGCCAATATTTTTCTACCACAAAAAAATCTCAACTCTCCCATCTTTCCCCAACTTCTCTTTTTGGTAACAGATCCAACATCAGCATTGAAGGTTAAAATTATTTTCTGGTATGTTCTGCCCACATCTGTGATCGTGTTTCTATTTTGTGTGATTGGCTACTCCATCTACCGATATATCCATGTTGGCAAAGAGAAACATCCAGAAAATCTGGTGAGTGCTTGCTGTGGTAGGAATATCTGTTATAACAACACACTCCTGGTTCTAGGACAGATAGAGTTCCATCTAAACATGGAGTAGATTTAAAATTAAGTAGTTGACGAATTTTTTAAAAATGTTTTATACTAGCCTATTTCACTAACATGATCAAAGATAAGAAAAATTTGAAAGTTTTGAAAAATTTTTATATTTAATACAGGATCAGGCAAAGTCTTGAGATGCACAGATATATTAAGTCATAGTCCCTGACCTTCTGTAAATGAAAGCCTAGTCAGGGACTAGAAATTCAAATCAATACATGAAGACTGACATGAAAGCAGACACTGGAGTCTCTGAGGGCACAGGTGCCACCAGACAGGATCTCTGGACTCAGAAAAGATAGAATTGAGACCAAGCGAAGTATTATAAGCACATACATAGGCAAGGCTTTTTATGGGGTGAAAGGTACTTCAGCTGAATCGGGTCTTCAGCTTCAAGGAGTACTGATCAGGAGAGACTGTGCTGCTCTCCAAAGAGGGGAAAAAGCAAGCCTCTTTTGATTGTTAAGCAGGCTAGAGTCTGGTAAGTTTCCGCTGACCAGAAGCATCATTTGAAAAGATGCTTCTTCCTGGCTGATGAATTTTTATGTAGCTAATGCCAACATCCTGAGTAAAACAGCCCAGCCCGGTGGCCTGGGACTTGTGACAGTATTACTGAAAGGGGTACAAAAGTAGTGGTAGGAAAAGAATGAAAAAGAAAACACATATGAGCTTCAGTGGGCAATAGGTCAAACTGACCCTATATGATAACCTTGGACAAAACATTTTTAAAGGATCAATGTGTCTACATGCAGAGTAGCATATGACCCATGGATTAAGACAGCAGGGGAAGCAGACACAAAAGAAGATAGAGCTGACAAGCCTTTGATCCCACTTTAGTCACCTATTAGGTATCTGTAGGCTGACATGAAGAGTGTTCTCTGCAAAGGCAGCCTTCAGGTCCTAAGAAGTAACCTAGGTAACTGTTAAAACCCACACGTCAGAGGTGTTCTCTACCGCAGAGCTGGTGGGAAACTAATCATGTATTACCCAGCTGTGTGAATTCCAAATTAGTAATTTTTAGGTCTACTAATGGCAAGTGAAGCCAGAAGGTTTATTTAGGTTTTTTTCCTTGGTAATGATTTCCTCATTTTGGGTGAACATTCTGCTTCAGTGGTCAGTTGAGAAAAGCACAAGGCTAGAGAAGCCACACACATGCTACAAAGAGAAACAGTGTACTGCACCCAAGGGTTTATGTGGCTGTCCCAGCCTTTTGTTCCATGCAGTGGTCCCTGACTGTCTCCCAGGGAGGCCTTGAAACCCTTCATAGGGATCAGTTTTAGCACAGGAGCTTGGAGGTAAAGAGCAAGAGTTAAGACACTTTCTGCAGGCAGAAAAGGCAGGGACACAAGGAAGTAGATGTGAGAAACACTTTAGGCTGCTAACTTGTATGTTTCCTGATAAAGGGTTGCACTGGAGACCAGTACTGGACCAAGTCATGCTCTTCTGAGGAGCTTGGGCTATATTCTACCTGCAAAGAGAAGTCTCCAAGAGGTTTGAAGTTAAGAGAGTCACCATAACTGCTTGAACAACTTTAAGGGGAATAAGACTAGAACCAAGGAAAACACTTAGGAAACTGTGGCCTTGTCCAAGGGAGAGAAGACAAGCATCCCAAAGAGGAGAGTACTAGAGATAAGAATTTGTAATGGAAACACATGTAGGAAGAATACAGCCAGGATGTGATAACTCGTCAAGGAGAAGCAAGCAAATAGAAGAATAAACCCCATAAACCCCATATTCCCAGACTGTCTGCTGAAAGGTTTCAAAGGGCTGGGAAGCATTATGTTTAACATTAAAATCTATTTCCTTGGGAATTACTAAAAGATGTGTTCACAGTACATACATTTGTTCCCCTTAGTCTCACTTGTAAATTTTTCTATTACTCTGCTGACATTTAGGTGTAACAGTAAGCTTCTTACTAGCACTAAGACAGGGTTTGTGAAATTGCTTTGTTTATGGTTTATAATTTCACAAACCCTGTCTCAGTGTTTGCCACTGTTCATATGGCCACATTCTAACTTTTCAAAATTAAAAATACTCAATAAATCAAGCAATTCACCTGCAATCCTTCAGTTATGTAGAGGAAGGCCAGCCACACCCTGAACTTCACACCGGATCAGTACCCTCCTGTGCAACACACACATTCTGTGTGTCTTCGGTTCCTTAATTCCAGACAATAAGGTTTGCGGTCTGTTCCAAGCATAACTTTCATCTTCATGACTTAGTAAGAGTAGGTCATTCAAACTCCTGGATGACACTACAAATTCTGCTTAACAGCTGTTTATAGTGTCTTTCTAAAGTAAAAAGGTGAAAACCGCTCTCTTCTCTCTTTATAGATTTTGATTTATGGAAATGAACTTGACAAAAGATTCTTTGTGCCTACTGAAAAAACCATGATTAACTTCATCACCCTGAATGTTTTGGATGATTCTCAAATTCCTCAGAAGGATATGATTCTACCGGACAAAAGCAATGATGGATCCAAACTCAGTGATCCTGAGCCCCTCTGGAACCCAGAGCCCCCTCCAGAGGAAGTGGAGGTGGAACACTTGGGGTATGCCCCGCATTTGGTGGGAATTTCCTGTGACTCTCAGGAAAACACCAGAGCTACTTCTCTGACCCAGCAAGAGTCACTCGGCAGCACAAAAGTTACCGGCAAAGCTGTGGTTGAATATGAGGGTGATATGAGAACTGACATTCATGGGGGACCCAAACGTCATCAGTTCAGCATGCAGGAGGCTGCACCCGTACAAAGAAAATTATTTCAACAACAGGCAGCTTTGGCAAGCTTGGGTCCACCAACATTATACAGGCCTCAGCTCAGTGACTTTCGTCACCTGGCACAGGAGCACTCAGTCTCAGAAGAGGGACCAGAGGAGGAGCTGTCAACAACACTGGTTGACTGGGACCCTCGGACAGGCAGGCTGTGTATCCCCTCCTTATCTAGCTATGACCAGGACCCTGTGGGCAGCGAGTATCATGGGTCTGATGGTCTTGCAGAGGAGGGCCTGTTGTCCGGACTCTATGAGGAACAGGTGCCAGACAGGCCAGAAGAAGATGAAAACTATCTCCTGCAATTTATGGAGGAATGGGGACTGTATGTGCAAATGGGAAACTAACCCAAGCAAGCCTTGACTGTGCCGGACCTCTACTGTGGCAGGTAGAGGTGAAGTACCAGGGCTAAGAGAAGCATGTTCAGAGTCCTCCGTGTAGTGAGGATTACTGCCCTTCTCTGTGCTCCTTGCACTTGCGTGGTCCGGTCTCCTGTGTGTGTGTGGGGGGGTGCTGCTGGTGGGTCCCTCATGCTGCCTGTGGGGCTCTGGGGGTGCAAGGGGTGATCTCTGCTGTAGACAGAGTCAGCATTCAATGCATGTTTGCCCTGCAGGATGGATTCAGGAAGGGATAGTGTGGCCATTCTGTTTATTTTTTTTCTAACAAGCATAAATCTCCAGTTATTTTCTGGGTATGTACTTACCTTGTGTAGGTAACACTGCAAAGTATTTCATAAAGACCATCCATTTTACAAATACTACTTTTCCAGAATGCATTGATTATGAGAATGAAGAGATACCTAGAGCTATACCACTATGGCTGAGCTTTGGTGATGCATGCCTGTAATCCCAGAACTCTGGGAGGCAGAGGCAGAAAGATCACAAGTTCAAGCCCACCCTAGGCAATTTAGTGAACTTAAGGAGACATTGTCTCAATATTTAAAAAAAGAAAAAGACATTGTAAAGCACTACCTGGGGATGTAGCTCAGAGAAGGCCCTGGGTTTACCACCAGCACTGCAAAACAAATACATATATAAATATGTACATACCACACATAGACTAGGGTGGCAGGAAGCTAGTCACACATCAAGACTTCAAGCCACTATTCCACAGTTCAGTCAAAATAATTCAGGTTTAGAGAGAATAAATCAGACGTGATACCATACGCCTTTGTCTACCTTAAAAGACAATATTCAACAATTTATGAGTAGTGCTAGAATATGAGCATGAACAGTTATTCTTTTAGTCAGAAAATTTTTCTAACAATTATTTAGCAGGAGCTTTTATTGTCCCTCAAAACTAACCCAAAAGAAAATGCCACATGCTATAGTGGAACATTACACAATTTCGGGAAAAATGTTGTTAAAAAGACATCTGTATAAATAATAAACTAGAAAGTGTTCAGCAGCTGAAGTACTATGTTGCTATTATAATGTTAAGCACTCTGCTAAAGATGGGAAGGGTGAAGATTCTTTGGAATATGTATGAAAGACTATCCTGTGTCCATATAGTATTAAAGCCAGTGCATAAACACAGCAAAGAAATAAATGAATAGGAAGGGGAGGGTTTATTAAAATTTGACATAATTTACTGTGGCTGGTATACCATGAAATAATACCTTCCTAGCTAAACTCCAGTAGCTATTCCCATCTCCTTTATCATTTGTTAAGAAAATTAAACTCTTCAGTCACGCTACATTAAAATGTGACAGAATCTATAAAGTTGAGCCATATAAAATTATTGATATTTAGCTGTCTTGGATCTACAAGAACAGCAGTTACATATGGTTTACCTTGAGATACATTTGCTTTAGCCATGAACTCATTATTGCTCTTTCGGGAAGACAGAGATGTGTTTCCTTAGCTACGTTTTTGGCACAGGCAAACAATCCCGGTAGGAGAGATGGATTCTGGGGTCATGGTCCTTTGTGACTGCCCACAAATTCAAACAGTTTCTGAGCAAATGATTTAATTTGGAGCATAATTATATTAATCAGAATGTTCTGTTCTTCTTAATCTTTCTAGAAATGAGTCTGCTTTTTTTGAAGAACAAATGTGTAAAATGAACTATAAAAGAAGTTCAGAAGTAGGAGAGAATGAGTTATGAAAAAAGAAATCAATTGATGAGAGTTTTGCTTATTAATTTCATGTGTATATTTATTGAGTACCTACTGCATCCTACAGCTTCCTCATCTGTGAAATCAAAGTAACAACTTCCTTAGGCTGAACTATACAGGCACTTAGAGTGGTACCTTGCACATAATGAGAGATATAAACTGTTTGTCATCGTCATTATTAATTGCCAGATCACATGCTTAGCACCAGAAAGAGAACCATTTAGACATATGGCTCTGTTTTGATTCAGTGACAGGGTTTACCTAACTTTGCTTTTCTTATTTGAAAGTACAATAGTAATTTTCTTCCTACTCTGTGCCTTCAGACTGAAATCTTCTCATGGTTGAACCACACTTTCTGGCTTTGGAAGAGGAAATCTAATGCAGATTTGCTTTTCCATCTCTTGTCATTCTAACCATATCAGAAGTACCCAGTGCCCCTCCATTTTTGCTGCCACACTGCTCTGCAAGATTTGTGCATATACACGCACACACTCAGATGTCCCTGACAGCTTTGGGTACAATCTGGGCTTTTCACCTTCATGTTGCAAAAGCCATACACACTCAGTAGAGACTGTTTCTAAAGTTTTGAAGCTCATCTCTGTGGGATGTATGGGAACAGTCCTCTCTCCAGATGCTGGCCAGCAGTGGCCAGCAATGTGATCACAGGGGAGATGCTGATGCCTCACTGTGGGCTTAAGATTATCCATGCATTTCCTGGCTAGGTTGAAATCACTTTTGTGTTGACCTTGATGTACGGCTATAATTTGGAAGAATGTCACCCAAGTTCCATATGTTACAAGTTTGTCCCCCAGGGTGGCACTGTTAGGAGGCACTGTGACCTTTAGTGGGTGGGTGAGTAGTCTGGGTCATTGAGGAGGTACCTTCAAAGGGAATTATGGGACCCAAATCTCTCTGCCTCTGCTTCCTGCCTTGTGCTACAAACAGTGGCTCCCACATGCACCTCTGCCATGATGTGCCATCCTCGCCAGAGGCCCAAACCAATCCACAAGGCTATCCAATCTTGGGCCTAAGTCTCTAGAACTGTATGCCAAAGTAAACCTCTTTTCTGCACAAGTAGCGACATCAGGTATTTCATTATAGTGGTGTGAAGCTGACTAATATAGTGTGTTAAATGTTTTTTTTTTACTTACATTTTCAACTTATAAAAAGAGATAACCCATCACTAGTTGAGGCATGTCTGAATGTTCAGACATGAGCCTATGGCAGGTTTTCCTCCTGGGAGATGACATCTTAGATGTGGTCTGGGAGGAAGCTGTCATGCACCCTGTCTTCTGTGGCCAGGGCTTACCACCTCTATTGGATTTCAGCCTAGGCCTGAGGTTCAAGTAGAGCTGTGAAGTTGCTGGGTCAGAGACTTTGACAAGAATTTCTCCTACTATCACTGGTCATCTATCCACGCTAGGACTTCACATACTGTACTGCTTCCACGAGGCTAATTTTCCTCATGAAAACATCTCAGTGGCTCTCTTTTCATATATCAGTCCTAAACAACTAGTAAATGAAAAATACCACCACTGTAAAGCAAGTGAAACTGTCACATCCTGCTCAAGGGAAGAGAACTTGCCCCCAAAGCCCGCACCAAGGAGAATACCTGGTGCCCCCAGCTGAGTGCAGCTGCAAGGAGATCAGTGCACCAAGGAAAATCTGTTTTCCTGGGGTGATGAATCTAATGAGAATATTAAACAGAGGACTTGATCACCATGGATGGGTGTACCTGGTCATAAATCAAAGTCTTTCTGGCCCTCACATTTCCACCTCCACATCTTCCAGATGAATTCAAGCTGAATTATCTTAGAATTGCTTTTCTCTATTTCTTTTTCTTTTTTGGGGGGAAGAGGGTTGATTCTCCACAAATCTTCTACCTACCAATATCACCATAAATCATCTACTTACATTTTTCCCCAAAGACTTTGCTCAAAAACATGTCTTTAATTTTTTAAAAAATAAATAATACTATGCTTGTGGGTGTTTTAATAGTAGTTATTTTTAACATAGAAGATATATTAAGGTGTGTGTGTGTGTGTGTGTGTGTGTGTGTATGTTGTAGACTAACAAGAAATAAATGAGGGAAAAAAAGAAAATATGCCAATTTAACCACCGTAGGCATATTAGGACAGAGAAATGATTCTCAACTAGGGACACTTTTTACCTCCAACAGACATTTAGCCATGAGTGGTGACATTTTTTTAAATGAGACATCTTCTAATTTTCCCAGGCTGGTTTTAAACTTGAAGGCTCAAGTAAGCCTCTGCCTCAGCCTCCCAGGTAGCTGGGACTTCACGCACCTCTACCAACACCTGGCTTGGAAACATTTTTTATTGTTATAGTTCAGGGAGAAAGTGCCACTAGCTTCTAATGGGAAGAGACTGGAAATATTACTAAAAATCCTATGATACACAGATCATCCCTTCATAACAAAGGATTATCCACTCCTAGTGTCAACAGTGCTTAGGTTGATAAAGCCAGGTGGGTGTGGAGTGCACCTCTGTAATCTTAGCACTGGGGAGGCTGAGCCAGGAGGGTTGCCCAGGAGTTCAAGGCCAGCCTGGGTTACATAGTGAGTCCAAGGCCAGACTGAACTACACAGTGAGACCCTGTCTCAAAAAAAACAAAACAAAAACAACAGCAACAACAAAAACCCTGGTGTACACTTTTCATTGCATATATTCAAATATTTTTTCAAAATAGAAGATCATATTGAATTCTTTCCTAACTTGCTCCTTTCACTCGAAAGTGCATAATAAACTATCTTAATTTATTTATAGATTAAGTTTATGATATATTCAAACTAGAACTTTTAAAGCAGATTAGCAATTACTTTCTCTTAACATAATGCTTTGAAATTTTTTTAGCAAAACAGTGACCAAAAATCAAGAGTTGTTAAGCATCTTACAGATTCTGTTGGACATGACTGAAGCCATCCCGAGTCATAATCTCCATGATTGTCCCATGTATCTCTGGTCAGTTTTCCTCATGTAGTTCCCCAGCATACTAAAAATAACCAAAAATATTAAAATGATATGTAGAGCTTTACAACTAGTCTGGTGCTGTCGGTACCTGGCATGTATCTAATGTCCTCAAAGCTATATTAGGACTAATCAGGCACCTTCTAGCTAGGATTAAATCATTTTTGTCCCAACCATATGATAATTCCCCTATTTCTGATCCAAATCCCAGGGATCCTCTGATCTTGCCCTTGGCTTCTACCAGTAAGTCCCTAATAAACTGCCCTCTGTGCAGTTCTGTATCTATCTCCCTCATTCTCCAATCTCACAGCCCTATAAGGCCAATTCTTAAACACTAGAACCAGGTTGTTTCAGGATAGAAATCAGAAGTCTTTCAAAGATAGATGAATTTCTCAAAAGCATTATTTCTTGAAAATTACTACCTCCTGGGC